ATTGATACCAGGCCATATCCTGGCTAGAAATTGGGAAAATCCATCATTGTAAAGGCTTGAGATTTTATATTCATCATTTTATTTCTGAAGAAAGTGTTATACATAATTATAATGAATTGTGGAAGAGAACAAGTTATCCAGGTAGATCTAGACTGAGAGTCAGTCTGGAAGGAAGTACTAAGAGCTATCTGAATCCTTTCCCACAGGAATTTTGGGTAGTTAAAACAAGGTAGTTGAACACTTGTGAACCTACCAAGAAATCGAGACAAGAAATTTATAGTACATTGAACCACCCTATCTACAATAATGTCTATTATAATACAAGCCACATATATTGGAGAGACAAAAAAAGACAATTGAAGGATGTTTAAAGCTGCATAAATCATAGTTACAGTACAATAAATCACTGCCTATCATGGTCAAACATGATATCTTAAATAAATATACACCAAACACACATGCAGGATGCCAAAATTATTCATCCCAAAATACAAAGTGTTATCATTAAGTAGGGAGACAATGCTGTGTGGTGTGTGTCAAAATGTTATTACAGTATATAAAAATATACCAACTAGTATAAACTTCAAAGTATGATAATTGTTCTACACAACAATCCAATCCCATCTTTTTTTTTTCTCGAGCTTCTCAAACATGGATTCGTTTTTCTGAATGGCTCTTAATTTTTTCCGAAAATTTTCTATAATTGCACCAATACTTCTTCAAAATATTTACCCTCCGAGATTTTATCTTTGAGAAGAGAAAAAAAGTCAGGGGGGGAAATTTCAGGGGAATAGGGAGGGTGAGAAAGTAGGGAGGGGGGTCCTTTCTTCGCCGAATATTGAGCAACCGAAATAGTCTTTTGAGGTCGAACATTAACTGTAACAGGATCCATTTCCCCCCATAAATCAGGTCTTTTGAGTCTCGAATAATTTCCAAATATATGTATAGGGTTATTATTGAACCTTCTTAAAGAAATTCAACGCAAACAATACCTATAAATCGAAAAAAAAAAATATCACAGTTTCAGTCTTTGTTTTGATATTCTTGATTTTTTTTTTGCCTTGGTTGTTCTCTTCAGCCCTTTATTTGAATGGCATGGTGTCTCTGGGTCGTAGACGCGTAAATCCTTGTCTCATCACTGGTGATTATTTGTTTCAGCGCGCTTGTTTTCAATTCTTAAAATATTCGCTTTCAAACTATAAAATATTGAGAGATAGAGATATTTTACCATAATATGTTGTTAAGCTGTTAAATGTGTTTCTTAAAAACTCAAGGCATATATGCACAAAAATAAATATGTCTTTATTAAAATCAAAAATGTGCTTTTTAAAAATCAAAACTGACCTTAACAAAAAGTAATCAGATAAACCAATTTCATTTAAAATGAACGTGTTTAAATTAAACAAACCATATTACTGTTAAAGTTTCAAATAAACTAAAAATATATCGCTTAAAAATGAAAATGTTGTTAATAAAGTGTAAAATGTTGTCTTAAAAATGCAACACCTATAAATCGAAACGGCGATAAACCTGGGATCCCGGAGCACATAAAGTCAAGGAGATCGAACCTTGATTTTTTTTAAATATAGCAACATAATACTTATTGTAATTTTTTAAAATTATTTATTTACTCCATATTTACCATTTTCCCCATGCAGAGACTATGTTAATTAAATATTGATATTTAATATCTAGGAACCTGCGTTAATAAAATTTTAAAATACATTTAAAATTTGTGCAATTTTTATATTTCTCTTTAACCATTTATAAAATAGGTATTTTAAATCGTAATGAATATTATATTATTATTTTTGATAAAAAAAAAGGGGGTCAGACTAAGTTACCAGTCAAACTTCTCAGACAATTTCTCACACTTTCAGCCTAGCACCCCGGCTAACAAACATTTGAAGAAAATATTCGGTAAACGTTGACGTTACCGTATTACCGTATATTTACTCATTTGACTTGAGCCTATAATATTTTTGACATTCATTATGGAAGCCGATCTTTTAACGGGAGACTATAATGAAGAGTCCTCGCCGATCCCGATTCCCGAAGAAAGAATTCATGAAGTAATGGAGCCCGAGATTGTTACAAATATGGAACCTGAATCCACAACAGAAGATTTAATTTGCATCGGGCAGGATATTGTTCAAAATCAAGTTATTGAAAAGGAAGAAATAAAGGAGATAAAGGAAGAACCTGTTGTAAAAGAAAAGCAAGTTGAAAAAACTGATTCGATCGACCATGTAGAAATTTGGTGCCAATATCTTAACGGTAAGTGATTATTAATTTATTTTAAATTATATTTTTGTATTTTTACACGTAATTATGTTAAATCACCATTTTATTTTACACTTTTGCCATATCTTATTGTTCGCGAAAACAGGCTGCTTATTTTTTACCAAAAGATATAGAAACCAAAACGCGATTTAAAGCATCATTTAATTTACTCTTGTCATATTCCTTTGAAATGCTTAGAGGGCTACCATCAAACATAATTGAGATTATTATATATTAACACACGTGTCATACAATTATTTGATAGTAAAAACAATTTTAATTAATGATAATTACAAAAGGGAGAGTGTGGGATGGCTCGGTATTAGATTGATGATTTGCTAACCCTAATATTGCATAAAGTGTTAATAAGCTCAAATAAGTTTAGTTTCTTTTAGGATAGGTTAATTTCAGTTAGGTGTTCTGTTCTGGTTAGGGTTAGCAAATCAGTAACCTGGTCCAGAAAACTTCTCTGGGTCAGATACTCATTTTTGTAGCAACGACAAAAAGTATAGCAATCCGCTAAGTTAGGTTTGGATAGGTTAAGTTTTTTTTTTTTACTTTGCCATTGTCAAAAATAATTTCTGATGGTTGATGAAAGCATTTGGCAGTTAGAATGATTTTAAAACAAACTAAAAAAAAAAGCCATTCCTTAATCATCCCATGAATATTTCAATAAATATAAAGTAGAACCTCCTTGTAAAAGACATCTAATTGCAGAGTCAAAGTGTCCTTTAGGGAGAGGTGTCTATTTACCGGAGAGTTTATAAATAATTGAAAATTGTAATTAACCCTTAACTGGACGGGTGGATTTTTCTTATGTAACTGGACGGGTTGGGTAGATTCAACCCACTTATGTAACTTTATGAAATAAGCGCTAATTGATGATTGAAATCAATATTTAAAAAAATATTTAATTAATATATAGTTAATATACAGATTTTGACTTTTAAAAATTCTGAATATAATCTATTTACAGTTTTCAGAAGTTTATAAGAAATGTTTTTGCAAACGCTTAGTTGACATACAGAACAAAGGATTTTTATTTTTTACTGCGTTTTTTGATGGACATTTGTAGCACCTATTTGAGTATCAGCTTGTTGTGGCATCGTAGTTTCACTTGGTTTACTTGAACCATCATTTTTCTTGAATTGTCGTCTGTAATTCCAGTGGGAGAGAATTGAGATTACATGTGGCCAGGTGTTCATCAGTCAATGCTCTCCCAAGATCAACAATAAAATGAATCCTTTCTTTTTTACCCTTTTTATCAATCTGATTACCAATCTTATTTTATTTATTTTTTTGGAACATAGGACACTAAAGTGGTTGTTCCAGAGAAACCAAAAATAGATGATCCTGATTCTCTATTAGGGTGCGGTTGAAATTTTGGTGAATCTAGGGCTTGTTCTTTCTCATTGTTCATAAATATGTAAGGCCATGTTGTTTCAACTTATCAACTAATTCTATACTGAAGTGAATCAATTGTCTGCTGAAATATTTCTTCCAAAGTGTGGTTGACTAATCTCTAAAACCTATATATATTTTGGGTTGGCAAGGATAGTTCTCTCTGTTGACGTGATTGAAAATTATACTTATCCAAAGAAAGAAGTGTTATTTTATAAAAGGAAGCTAAAAATATTGGAAGATAGAGACTCAAGTATGAGCCACGAACTAACACTGAAACAAAAAATTCTCACGCTCTGGAGGGTCTGGGCAGAATCCGCCCCAACATGCAAATTTAACCCCCCTCCCAAAACTGAAATTTATAAACGATGGATGGAAAATGTTTATATCACTGTAAAATTAGAATACACGAAAGCTGGCAGCTCTAGGTAAACAAAAAAAAATCTTTTTAATCTATATTAAGTTTATGCATGGGCAGGATCTACCCAACCCGTCCATTTAAGGGTTAAAAAAAAAAATTGTCCTTTGTAAAGAGATGTTCTCAAGTAGGAGTGTCCTCTCATGGAGGGTCTACTATATTTTAAAATTGAAAGGGTACAATATTCGGATTATAGATTAGAACTACAAGGTAATAAGACTTAATCCAAATAAATTAGTACTTTGTGACGTTTCAGTAACAGCGTTGTTACCATCATTTATATTTATAAATTGTTATTAAGAAATTAAGAAAATTGTCATAAGATAATTCTCAATTACAGTAGAACCACACATCATGAAAGGACACTCGTGCTAGAGGACACCTCTCTACAAAGGACAGTTTTCATTTGTAAAATTACCATTTTTAATATTTAGCAACTCTCCGGTTTGAGAACACCTCTCTCTAAAGGACACTTTGGCTCTGCAACTAGGTGTTGTCCTTTACAGGGAGGTTGTTATTGTTGTCGTGTCCAAAGAAGAGCTTCAGATGTCTCCATACATCTCTATCACAGCAGCAGCAATGTCCACTATCTTGGGTGTGTAAAGCTGCTGTTCTGGGTCCATGTCAATTTTCTGTTGTTGTTGTGGTGTCCAATGAAGAGCCTCACATGTCCCCATACATCTCTATCACAGCAGTCGCAATGTCCTCTATCTTGGGTGTGTAAAGCTGCTGTTCGGGGTCTATGTCAAGGGAGGTACAGGGAGGTAGTTCTACTGTATTTACAAATAAAGATGATAGGTCAAGTAGAGATAGCGCCTGTGACTTGGGAAGATCTTTCTTGTGGTCTCACAGAGTTTTATCTACATAAAATATTGAGGTACAAAAGAAAAAAAAAACATGTCAGAAGTGGGATTTGAACCCACGTCAGAGAACTCACAACTCCCTCTATGGGATAAATCCGGTGCCTTTGACCACTCAGCCATCCTGACTTATGCCAAACAAGAAACTATGTAAAATAAATGTTGAGAAATTAATCAGAAATTTATCTTTATATAAAAATATTTATTTTCTCATATACAAAAAGATTATACATTATTAAGTGGCTGCCTTTCCTGTGTGTATGGCTGTTTTTTAATTATACGGTCTAAAAAATTAGAAAAGTAAAAAAAAAAAGGCCAAACCGTGGCTATGGTGAACCAAAAGCTCTGTCCCATTGGGGTTCACTATAGAGGGATTTTACTGTATGTATATTTATGCTAAAGATTATATGTCAAAAACTTACTATCAAGGCTAGGGGGTTTGTTTGGTTTGGATCATTTTTATTTCACTTTGTTTATTCTAACTTCTGTTGTCTCCTGCTAGCTTCATTTAAAAAAAAATTTTTTTTTGTTTGTTTGCCTACTCAGTAGCAGGCTGACTTAGCTCTAATATGAAACGGCCACCCTCTGACATGAGAAACATACGTCATGTACAGGCGCTCCTAACATGAAGTACAGACTAATCCTGTATCCTTGGATCAGGAGCACTTACAGGGTACTATGAACCGGGCCAGCTGAGCCAGGAGTTAGGAATGATCAATCTAATAAAATGGTGTGGAATTGGTGAAGAGATGATAATTATGGCTTTTTTTTTTTTGCTTATCCCTAGTGCACGTGGTACAGGCCATGATAATCATGGTGGGTAGAAGTAGGTGACTGCTTTTACTGTAAGTGCACCACATGTCTATATATGTGAAAGGCAGTTCAACTTTGCACTTACAAATGTGCCAGAGCCCCGTTACTTGCACTCGCTGGTAGGGTTGGACTTTTTGCAAGAATAGGGGGCTATTGGAACATTAATAATTATGGCATGAAGTTAGCCTATGGCCGGCTGTCATACCTCCCTCTGAGAACTAGCACTACAGGGAACTAAGGAACCCTATTTTATTATGATGAGGGCCAACAGCCCAAAACGCGTCCGTGGTTAGCTTTTCTTGATTAATCAAGAATGGGTATTTGGCCAATTATGGAATAATTAAAAATCAATGAGAATAGTTTATATTTATTCCGATAGATGGTGCAAGCCATCAGAAACTTTCAGTTGCACGATAAGGAGATGCCATTTTCTTAATTTATGCACCTTATCCCAGTACAATATTACATTTGTACTATTTTTTCCTATTTTATATGTTTGTATTTTAGCTGTATTTATTTTATAGCAGCATAATTTATTATCAACTTTGTGAAATGTAAATTTTAAATGGGTGCTATTTTTTGTGAAATAAAAAAAATGTTCTTCTTTTTAGAACACTACAAGGTAATAAGACCAAATCCAAATAAATTAATAACATACACACTATTAATTTATTTGGATTTTTGGTCTTATTACCTTGTAGTTCTCATCTATAATCCAAATTGTGCCTTAATGTGTTCTTGTTTGCTTTTTCTCCCTTTCTTTCTTAATAGCCTATCATTTTAGTAAAATCTTGCTAAAACAAAACAGGGATATAGAGAACCTTGCCTTATAACGAACCTGAAATAAAATCCATTTTTCTGATATAATGAACCATGGTCAGAGTGAAATTAAGTCCCATTGGGGTTTGCTCTATTAAAGTTTTCCATTATTTTAAATTGCTAAACACTCTGTTTAAAAGCTACAATGAACTAAACTTTTATGACTAGCTTTAAGGTGCTAGAACAGAACTGTTAGAACTTCCATTTCATAGCAGTGGTTGCCCATTTCCTTGCAAACACTTGCCTCCTCTTGCATCATTTCACCCTTATTTTTAAAATCCGGTATTTTTACCCAACATACGCTCTTTTTTTTAAAATTGAATGTGGGTTGCTTTCTCAGCTTAACTCTTCCTTCCTTTTGCTCGACAAAATCCTTGGCTCATCTTGATGATAATTTGGATATTTAAAGTAGAGAACCTCTCTCTAAAGAACAACACCTAGTTGGTCTTTGTAGAGAGGTGTTCTCTCATAGAAGCTCTACTGTATTCAGCTGCCTTCATGTCTTCTTCTTTCTCCACTCAATCATTCATGACTGGGTGACGTAGAATGCATCTGCCTTTGTCATTAAGACTGGGAGCACTACTCAGTGGCAGGCCGACTTAGCTCCAAAAGAAATGGCCGTCTCTGACATGAGGAACAGACGCCATGTGCAGCCGTTCCTAACATGGAGTACAAACGCTGCTCATCCTGGATTAGGAGCCCTTACAGGGTACTATCAGCCGGGCCAGCTGAACCCAGGTTTTTTAGTGAGCTTGTTACTGCTCCCCCTCCTCCTTTTTCATCCGAGCTTGAGACCGGCAAAGGCGGAGTTTGCCTTCATGTAAAATTCCTTAATTATTATAAACACAATGTAATAAGACCAAATCCAAATGAATAAATAGTGTGTGACGTTTCGGTAACAGCATTGTTACCATCTTCAGACAAAAGTACTGAAGGTAGTGAATTGAAGAATTGATTCAGTACTTTTTTGCCTTAAGATGGTAACAACGCTGTTACTAAAACGTCACATGCTATTAGGCGTACAAATAAGTTTTGAGGGATTTTTTTTATAAATTCGAAACTTTATTCAGAGAATTCAGTACAATATTATTCATTCAAAGTACAGTGGTACCTCGACATACGAGTTTAATTCGTTCCGCAACCTTGCTCGTATCTTGAATTACTCGTATCTCGAAGCAAATTTCCCCATACAAAATTCCCATTTAAAATCACAGATTAATATCTTCAACACTACCGAACCGAACTCGTATCTCGAATTTCGCTCGTAACTCAAAGCAAAAAATCACTTGCTCGTCGGCTCGTATCTCGAAAAACTCGTATGTTGGGGCGCTCGTATGTCGAGGTACCACTGTATTGTCCATCTTTAGCTACGACTTTATCCCTTTTTTCAGGCAGCATACGGATTCCGTGTCGAAAAAATTCCTCGTCTTTTGAGGCGATCCAAACATCGACCCAATTTTTCGCCTCTTCGTAAGAAGTAAAGTGCTGCTCGGCCAGGCCATGTGTCATCGAACAGAACATGTGGTAGTCTGAAGGAGCAATGTCTGGTGAATATGGCGGGTGGGGTAGGACATCCCATTGAAGCGCCTCCAAAGTCTCCTTGACAACTTTTGCAACATGTGGCCGAGCGTTGTCGTGCTGATAGATCACCTTGTCATGTCTTTTGGCATATAGTGAGCGTTTGATCTTCAATGCTCTGCTTAATCGCATCAATTGTTGTTGGTAACGTTCTCCAGTGATGGTTTTGTTAGGCTGAAGTAACTCATAGTAGATCACTCCGAGCTGGTCCCACCAGATGCACAGCATTAGCTTCTTGCCATGAATATTCGGTTTGGCCGTTGAAGTTGATGCATGACCGGGCTTACCCCACGATTTTCTGCGCTTTGGGTTGTCGTAGTGAATCTACTTTTCGTCCCCCGTCACGATTCGGTGCAAAAAAACCCTTCCGATTTTGTCTTTTAAGAAGGAGTTCGCACGTGCAAATACGGCGCTCGATGTTTCCTGGCTTGAGTTCATATGGAACCCAATTTCCTTGTTTTTTGCACCATACCCATTACCTTGAGACGGTTCGAAATTGCTTGTTGAGTCACTCCCAAGGTTTCAGCGAGCTCCTCTTGAGTTTGGCTTGAATCTTCGTCCAAAAAAGCCTCCAACTCAGCATCTTCGAACTTTATTGGCCTCCCTCCGCGTTCTTTGTCTCTGGTGTCAAAATCGCCACTTTTGAAACGCCGAAACCAGTACTCACATGATTTTATTGATAGAGCATGTTCCCCATATGCCTCACACAGCAATCGATGTCCATCAGCTGCACTTTTCTTCAAATTAAAACATAAAAGCAGCGCTTCCCGCAAATAGTGTTTTGTTGGCAAAAAGGTTGACATGGTTAGAGCACCAAAAAAAAATGTTCCTCACACTTGAGTGAAAAGAATCCTTCTGATTTTTTGGGGAAATGATGAAGCCTTAAGATGAAACCTTACAAGGTCCGATGCTATTTATATAATATTTGTTGTGGCTTCTTTTGCAAATCCCTCAAAACCTATTTGTACTCCCAATATTTATTCATTTGGATTTGGTCTTATTACCTTGTGTTTATGATCTATAATCCATATTGTGCCTTCAAAAAACTCTTGAATTAATCATTAAAGATGATAAGGCACAATATGGATTATAGATTATAAATATCTTTAATGATTAATTCAAGAGTTTTGTGGTAAGAAATAAACATTGATTTAGCATTTCATTTTACATGAATTCAGTAAAACCCCTCTATAACAAACCCCAATGGTTCATTATAGTCATGGTTCGTTATATAGCCATAGTTCACTGTATTATAAAATAAAAATGGGGATTATTTGAGGTTTGTTATAAGGGAAGGTTTGCTATATCCCAGGTTTGTTTTAGCAAGATTTTACTGTATATATATATATAAGGATTGTAAAACTAGATTTGTCCTATTCTTTCACTATAATAAAGAAGTAACAAGGAGGAGGGGGAGCAGTAACAAGCTCACTAAAAAACCTGGGCTCAGCTGGCCCGGCTGATAGTACCCTGTAAGGGCTCCTGATCCAGGGATACAAGATGAGCAGCGTTTGTACTCCATGTTAGGAGTGGCTGCACATGGCGTCTGTTCCTCATGTCAGAGGCGGCCATTTCTTTTGGAGCTAAGTCGGCCTGCTACTGAGTATTGCTCCCAGTCTTAATGACAAAGGCAGACGCATACTACTTCACCCAGCCAAGTTTCAAATTTACAAGCTTGATACCCTAATATGATTGATTGGAGATAAGAAAGAAGAAGAAGAGAAGAAGTAACTGATCCTTAAAAGAGAAGAGATGTGGTCATCTAATTGGCCTCAGACAGGCTGTAATACAGCAAGATAGGAGGAACAGACAGTTACTATATGTGGATGGTTAGGTGACATTGTAATTCCATTTTCCCATCCTAATAAAGGAAGTGACTCAGCACTTGTGACCTCAGTAGTTCAGGTTCAGTGCATTCC